AGATCTGGACTGGGCTTTGCAGGCTGTGGCTGGTTGGCTTAGACTGAGTCGGTTGAAGCTGAATCCAGCGAAGACAGAGGTCCTGCGCCTGAGTCGGGGCGGTTCGGGGGTGAGGATCCCACTTCTGACCTTCGGGGGGGCTCCATTGGTGCCAGTGCTGGAGGTTCGGAGTCTGGGTGTGCTCCTGGATCCCTCCCTTACTATGGAGGCCCAGGTAGCGGCCACTACTAAGTCGGCCTTCTATCACCTTAGGCTGATTAGGCAGTTGGTTCCCTTCCTTGACCGCACTGACCTGGCCACAGTGATCCATGCGATGGTTACCTCGAGACTAGACTACTGTAATGCTCACTACATGGGGCTGCCCTTGTCGCGGATCCGGAAGCTGCAGCTGGTGCAGAATGCCACAGCCAGGCTGTTGATGGGTCTCCCTAGATGGGAGGATATACAGCCTGTGCTAAGGACACTGCACTGGCTGCCAATAGCATACCGAATCCGCTTCAAGGTGCTGGTTCTTTAAAGCCCTATATGGCCAGGGTCCGACATACCTACGGGACCGCCTTTCCTCGTATATACCCCAGAGAGCACTACAGTCTGGGTCTCAAAATTAATCGACCCTCCCTGGCCCGAGGGAGGCCAAGCTAGCTATTACCAGAGCCGGAGCCTTTTCAGTGGCAGCCCCTACCTGGTGGAACAAGCTCCCGGAGGAGATCAGGGCCCTGCAGGACCTTTTGCAGTTCCGCAGGGCCTGCAAGACAGAGCTCTTCCGCCAGGCATTTAATTAGGGGCCAATGCTACTGCAGGCCGCTATTGCAGGTCGTTACTACAGAGCTCTGGTCTGTGGATTCAACATCCAGCTGATTATGAGCAGAAACATTGTGGAACATCTGGGCAGTGGAAATTTACTCTGACAATATACCATCTAGGTTAATTTTTAACTGCTGCCAGCACTTTGTATTTATATTGTTTTTATTTGAGTGGTTGAATATTGTGTAATTTTATTGTATTTATGTTTTTATAGAAGCTGCCCTGAGCCCACTTTGCGGGGAGGGCGGGGGATAAATTTGATAATAAATAAAAAATAAAGTATACAGTTCATTCACACAATAGTGTGTTGTCCTATTTCAAAAAGGCTGTTTCCAGATTTTGGTGATGTTTTCCCACAATTCCATTTACCCAAGGTTTTTGACTGTTTACCAGCTTCACAAATAATAATTTAAAATTTCTGTTCTTTAAGTTGGGAGAAGTGGATCATTGCATATTCCCCTCTAATTAGATAAATCATGTAAACCATGTAGAGAGCAGAAAAGTCCCATTTCACTGCTGAGCAATGAATTAATCTGCTAATAATTTGTCCCCAACTCTATAAAGTGGCCAGGATAAAACTAGACAGAACACTTGGGTTTTATGAGAGGAGCTGAAGAAATTAACAGAAAGATATTCATCTTGGAGTCTTGACTCAGATGGCCCATCCTAGCCCAATCTCATCAGAATCTAAGCAGGGTCAGCCCTGGTTACTACTTGGATGGGAGACCACCGATTAATGTCTATGGTTGCTATGCAGAGGCAGGCAATGGCAAACCACCTGTGTTAGTCTCTTGCCTTGAAAACCCTACAGGGGTCACCAGAAGTGCAACTTGGTGGCACTTACCACCACCATTCCTTTGGAAGTAACGGAAAGATAAATAGAGGTACTAAATGACAGATGAGCAGCTAGATTAGAGTCCAATAGCGCCTTAGAGACCAACAAGATTTTTGGGATATGAGCTTTTGAGAGTCAAGCTCCCTTCGTCAAATATTAGCTGGAATGGAGAACTCTATGGACTTATATCCCAGTCAGATGGTGGGAGGGGTGTTGCAAAGAAGAAACTCAAGGATATTTACCTCCGCATCCTGAGTTCCTTCTTTGCAACACCCCTCCCAATTTCTGACTGGGATATAAGAACTCCATTCCAGGTCATATCTGACAAAGGGAGCTCATACTGGTCTCTAAGGTGCTTTTGGACTTGAGTCTAGCTGATCCACTGCAGACCAGAATGGCTACCCACTGAAACTATCTAAATGACATACACTTTCTTAAAAAGCTATAAACTGCTTGAGACTGCAAAAACAATACAGTGCAATTCCAAATAAATAAAAACTTTTTCATATGCATATGATATTCAAGAAAACATCAATGTAACCATCATATTAGAATAAACAACTGAAATTGATACACTGATGCATCTTCTTGTTGTATTACTGTAATCAATGTAGCAAGTTAATTAAGCTCCAAGCACAGGCGGAAATTATTAAGAACAAATTACATAAGGATTTTTTTCTTCCACTCCAGAACAAAGATCAATAAGTCACAGTTTCCTTACTTTTGCAGTAAAGTATTTTCCCCAAAGCATGGAAAAGGAAGATGGATGCATCTTTGCCACCGACAGCCTGTATCTCCTGGCCTTCTAAAGAGTTACCAAATTTCTTTTTCACTTTAGATAATAAATCACATTTTGATGTAGAATTTCCTTTTCTCTGTGACCACAAGTTGTTCTTCAATGGACACTCTAGCAATTTAAAAAACCAGCAATATGATGAATTAGATAGTGTATTTTTCTATTTAAGAAAGCACTAAGATTAGCTACAAAGAACTTCAACCCTTTATTATCAGATTTATTATGTTCTATAATGTGGGGAAATGAAGGTAAATCTTAAGAATATTAAAAAATAAAATAAATGAGTCATAACATAGTAACACTGTGAACAATCCTAATGTTTTATTAAGTACTAAGGTGTCACAGTGTTGTTATGAAAACCTTCATGCAAAACAATCTATGGATAATTCAGTTATGTAGAAGATGAACACTTTATTGAAAAGAAACAATGTCTAATGTGAATGTAGTCTATAAAATACATAATGCTGTTTTTTGTGCACTAATCTCCAATTTTGTAATTCAGTTTATATGTGTTATACTGTTGTTATTGCATTGTTTTAATTCCGTGATCTACCTTGATTCTTAGTAAGAAAGGCAGACTATAAATAAACAAATAAAATAAATCACCAAACTATTTGACTTTTATCCTGCCTTTCCCCCAAGGAGCTAAAGGCAGCATATGCATTTCCTTTCCAGTTTTATTATCCCGACAATCCTGTGAGTTAGGTTAGGCTGAGAGAAAGTGTTTGAGCCAGTATTTTGTCAAAACTGAAAGTCAAATTTACTCACAACTAGGAATGGGCACAAACTGGTTCACAAACTAAAGCTCATGATGAATTTTGGCCGGTTCATGCTTCACAAAGTCACCTGGCAAGAATTTTCCACGAACTTTCAAGCTGTTCCTGGAGGTTTGTGTGGGTTTGTGAGTGGAGACATTCCCAGACTGTCTCAGCACAATCAAAATGTTTACAGAACTTCAAAGCAACAACTTGGCATGTAAAAGAGCATCCGGGGAACGTCCCCTGTGACTTTGATCTCTGTAGCTTGCACAACATCTGTTCTATAAACTCCTGAACCTCAGTCATTTTGATAGGTGCAGGTTCAGGAGCGTACAGAACGGATCCTGTGCAAGCTAGAGACACCAAAACTTACAGCAGATCCCCCCCGGATGCTCCTTTACATGCTCTCAAAATTTAGTGTCTCTAGCTTACACAGGATCCGTTCTATACACTCCTGAACCTACACCTGTCAAAATGACCACCTGTCATTTCTCCTGGGGGCACCTTCTTTGGGAGGCTGTAGCTTGGACCCTGTAAATCCAACTCTCACCAAACATGGAGGGCAGGTAGAGGAGAGTCAGCCAGAGATCCCCTGCAAGTTAGGTGTTTCTAGCATGCTGGGGGGGGGGAGGGTTCTACACCTCACAAGTTGAACTGGTTTATGAGGAGGCTAAAAATTCATGACGGCCCATGATTCGCAAATGGAGCACATCATGAACTGAACCACATTTTCCTGGTTCATGCCCATCCCGACTCACAACTAACCGATACTAAATAGAAACATTTTTAATTGATTTGATTTATATCCCGCCCTCCCCTGGGATAAATGAATACACTCTATTATTAGAACAATTAAGTCTGAGTGCCATTTTTAATTAATTATACATTCAAATGTTTTACTAATCCAGTAATTTATAGTATGTACTTCGGTCTGCAAGCTTGCAACTTGTTCCCTCATGTTTCAGCTCCATAGAAGAATAGCTCCACAAATCTGTTCTTTTACCCCTTAATCTGCTGCTGCTTTTTTTGAACCTGACGTTGGCAAAGTAATTTAATACAGAAGGCCTTCTCACATCTTCTTTCCTTTCTAATCAATTTTATATATATATACTCCTAATAGCACTCAATTATAGGGAAATGGAAATAGAAAACAATTATCTCTGCTTTGTTTCTCTGTACCAGGAAAATAACAAGATTTTCTCAAGAACTTTCACCACCTTTTCCAGCTGGGGACAGTTCATACCAGTTCACAGCACCTTCAATCAGATAGAACTATGAAATAGCATGCAGCAACAATTTAGAGAGAATACTAACGGGTTCTACCCACATATTGGAAGTCCAAAATTTTATTGTGAAGACACTTATAAACAGTAACACCACAAAAGAGTAAAAGAACTGCTTCTTCATAGATTCCAAAAACAACGTTTTGTCAAACAATAAGCTAATTATTAGTCAAAAGAATTCAGTCGTGTTCCCACAACTATGTTTTGATACCCTAACTAGCATAAAGAAAGTGCACTGAAAAACACACTAAGACCAAGCTCTCACCAGTTTTATATCAAGCTAGTCAGAGAATTTTGTGAGTAGAAAGAATTTTGCTTCCCACATGTGGTGATGTTACTGCATTACATACGAACACTACTGATCTAAACTGTCCTTTCTGTCAATGTTGATGATCTGGTTGAGAGAAAAGGCAAGTACCAGCACTGTTTGAGATGACAGCATGGATGATCTGTTCAGAAGGAGGAGAGAATGCTCTAGCATAGCAGTTCCTCTTGTATTTTTTCAAACTTGGATTACAACTCCATTACATTAAACTCCATGTATAATAAGATCTTATTTCATTCCAATTGCTTATTATTATACTAGCTGAAAGACTACTCAACCAGCATTGAAACAAAACTGTCCTGTGAGAGGGCAGACATACTTTGGCTGGAAAATTCTACATTTACCTTTCAAAGAAGAAAACTGAAGACTGTTTATTGCACTTCTAATATCACCTGAACATCCTTTGCAAATCAATTCCATTGAGGACTTGTCTGGGACATCAAATTTTTCTCCATTCTACAAGGAAAAGGTTTAGTTTGCATAATCATCAAAACTGTACTACTAGTCGAGATTCAGTGCAGCTAGTTTGTGGAGGGTCAACTTTTATCACTAACAATCCTATAAGTCTTCATGTGATTACTATAGCTTTAAGTCTTTAAGGATATGTGCTTTCCAAAAAGTCAGACTTCTGGTATTTCCCCACATAAAAGAGTCCACTCTGTCGTGTCAAATGAACACTGAATCTATGTACAAAGACTTCCTTCTGCAATAGTGTTTCACAATTCCATATATATCTCCATGGGCCATACACAGCAGCCCTGACAGCAAAACAGCTATGAAGGCTGTATATATACATCAAATAATCCACAGATTTATTCATCAGAGCCTGTACATCAGCAAACCTGACATTTTGTTTTGGCCATTTTCAGAAGGAGTACAATAATAACTTTTCCAATTCAGATATAGACTTTCCCCAGATTTTCACACTATCAATACAATAGAGCTTTTAAATTTTATCTTACCGTATTTGCCTCTATTGTAGTTATTCGGTTTAGAACTTTCAGCATAATTGTTGGAGCCACTGGGTTAAAACTAAAAAAAATAGGTAAGAAGAAATGGTCAAGATTAATTTCATAGTAAAATCTTTTATTATGATCAATACAGTTAACGACCTTTTTACCTAATATTCGCTATATGTAGCTCTTCATGAATCTCTTTTGGGAAGAGAGATCTTTGACTGCTGGCTGCACTTGCACCATCTGATATAATAAACACAAGAGGGCATCTGCTTGTCTGCACAAACGTCCTAGGATGGAAAATAAAAAGTTACAGAGAGTTGCACTCAGATTTAAGAGCCTGAACAACAGGAAATCAGTAACTGGAGAGTCTTGTGTCAAATCCTGCTACTACCGAGCCATATAATGTGCTGCTCTATCCCAGTTACCAGCTCAAAAGCAGAAGACTGGAGTAGCCCTGGAGAGCAGGCTGTTCTGGAGACAGAGAACTGAAGTCTTACAGTGCAGTCCTAAGCAGAGTTACACTCTGCTAAGTCCACTGAAGTTTAGAAGGGTTTGGAAGGGTGTAAACTGTTCAGGATTACACTGTCAATCTGCCTCCCCCTCCCATGCTATCAATATGAGCTCCTTTACACTCACCTCAGAATTTCGTGTAAACTGCTAGGATAACGATAAAAATGGTTTGGCACATCCTGTTGAAAAGCAATACAATATGGTTATTTTAGCAAACTTTGTGCATTAGTACACTGGCCAATCTTCTATCAAAATTACAATGGTTCACATACTCGTTTGATTTTACATTTAGACATATGTGGATAAATAAGCCAAGATTTAAAGAACTACTTATGTTGAAGCTAAGAATTTCAGAGTGGCTAGTGGGCCCATGCTGTATTACTATGCTCTGAAATTATCCTCAGTTTCAAGAGTTGTTTGCTGTACAGGACGATGCAGGAGATGCTATTTGGTAACCCAAGTCCAAAACCCACTCAGGAACCGAGAAACAGCTTAAGTACATGCAAGTGAACCACTTTTCTTGCTTCCTTCTCTCCTTCCCATCTACCAGCCAACCTATGGTTATCTGCTCCCCATCTTCAGCTTTTCCTTCCCTCTGGCAGCCTATCCCCAGGAAAACCCTTGCTGAGTTGCACAGTGCCAGTCATTGTGTCATACCCGGTTGTATGGTTCCAGGTGGACTCAGCTGTAGCATGCCGGCTAGGCCCCTGGGGGAGGCTCATTTATGATTTCCTCTTTCCTTCCTAGCAGCACGCATGTCTTCAGCTTTCTCTGCTTCCTTCTCACCTTCCCACCCACCAATTTTTAATCTACCCCCAATTTCCAGCTATTTATTATTTATTTACTTCTTTTATTTCCCCCCCCCCATTATCCACGATAGCATCCAAAGCAGCTTACATCACTCTCCTGTCCTACACTTTATCCTAACAATCATGTGAGGTAGGTTAGGCTGACACTGTATGACTGGTCAAAGACACTCTGCTTCCACAGCAGAGTGGAAATTGTAGTCTTGGTCTCTCAGATCTTCAGCTGAGACTCTTAACTACTTCACCTCACTGTTTTTTGTGGAGTGCTGCTGGGCCTGTGGAGTCATGCATACAACATGAATTACAGTAAGTGGCCTCATGGTTGCTGGCAGGCCTGGACCTAATAAGTCCGCCCCCAAAGGCCAAAATAACCATGGACAGCACCCTGTCCCCTCCTGCTTTCTGACAAAAACCAAGGCTTGAAGGCTGGCCATGGCCACAAAGAGCATTCATTTCTTAAAGCTACAGGTGCTGCTTCTATCATTTTGGAAAGTTTTTTAAAATTTCAATTTTTTCTTTAGTTTGCAGAAATATCTTGTCTATATATGGCCCCAGTCTCCAGACTTAAGCATCCACAGATGGGGCCTAGTTAATAATTAGATATATTGATGATGGATCCTGGCCCTTGGATCCTGGCCATGGTGGCTAGACACAAGATGGATCTGTCCTAGACTCGAGCCAAATTAATTTCAGTCAAATTATTATGAATGGATTATCATGAATGGATTATCATCATGAATGCCTTAGGGCAAAGTAAAGCACTGTACAGTGAAAGGAAAACAGAGATCTAATACACACCATTAGATAAGGATCTGACATTTTCAAGGTGAAATTAAACTGAATTTTTTAAAGTCGATTTAAGAAAAAAAGTGAGTAAAGTTTAAAATATTCAGCCCTGAAAACCAAGGTGTGTGGGTGGTCTGGTCTACAATTAGATAATAACATCTAATATGATTACAGAAACATTCATTTTAAAAAGCAAAAGCTTCCTTCATCAATTTCAGTAGTACTTACAAATAGGAAATGAAGGACAGAATTTAAATAATTAAACAGAGAAACACCATTGGTTGAGCTTAACCATTTCTACTTACTTCTACAAGAATAAGTCTTTTATCTGTTTTCATGATGTCACCAACCATCTGAAGCTTGGTATATTTGTTTGCTCTTAGTAGAAACTCTTGAAAGAGAGATGTTTGGCTCTCATATGGCAATACCTGAAAATCTGATTAAAACAGGTTAGTTTTCTTCTGTGTTGTTACTTTTATCATTGTATTTTGTATCTGTTAACTGGAGTTTATGATTGAAGCAAGCCTTCTTGAACACTTGCAAGTAAGATACTATATAAACATATTTAATATTCTTTAAGCTTTACCTTTGTTCAAAGCATCTTGGAAGTTGTCTTTCCTGAAGTCCATTAATACAGGGTTTATCCATTCCTGCACTTGAATGCCAAGGTCTTTAGCTAGTATTTCCAAAGTTGCAGACTTTCCACAGCCTGAGGGACCGGTTAATAATAAAACAGAGCCACCCTACAATAAAACACCATACCAATTTGCCATTTTATGAGTGGAAAATACCGTATGTATAAAGAAGTACACTTTAGGATCCAACCCAGTAAATCTCTCTGCTGCCTGTGACACTAGAGTAACTGGTCTATGTAAGTGATCTTTTGTCTTTTGGTTCCAAGAAACCACTCCCTATCTTTGCATTATGAAAATGCAAATGCAGAAAAGCATGTCCAGCTGTTTAAGGGGAGTTGGGGAGAAAAGTAATTAAACAATGAATTTTTCTCAGTAGCATCTTAGACAACATGAAGGTCATATTAGTATTGTTTTCAATATACACACTCCATTCACTCATTCTCTTCTATTAATTCCCTGCAGATCACTGTGCTACATTTATACACGTCGGTTATCACATTATTGTCCTATGTAACAACAATGCAACAAAATTAAAATATACTGAATTTTGCTATTCCCATGACTCATTTCTGACTTTGCTTCCAAACTCTTTGAGAGGAACTATTTATCCAAATAAAACCTGTTTTATTTTAACAGGTAGGAATCTATGACATAACGTATACAAAATACAAAGCCTTCAGAACAAACATTTGCAGGTTTAAAGAAAAAATCAGCTGCTACCTGCTTGGTTTGCCTTTGAAATACTTGGGCTTTTAACCAGACTTCAACTTCTTCAATTTTCTTCTTGTGTACAGCAAGCTCATTCTAATGAGGAAGAAAAACATCAGAAGTATGCACATCTGATTAAAATACAAAATTGCATAGTAAAATATAATATAAACCTTTCAAAAGGCACTGAATTTTAAAATAAAGATTTTTCTGTTCATAGAGATTCAGGGTTCCTAATACATGTGGAGCAGTTTAGACTGGAGTCTAGCAAGCTGAGATTCACCCAGACATCACCTGAAATTGATTGAGATCAGGCCTAGGAGAGCCCCAATGTGTGATGACAACTTCATTTTCAGCAGAGTCCAGGATATGAAGCCAGCTGTAGCTTTTAAACCACAATTCTTGGTAAAACCTGACCATTCTTGGTAAAGTGGGGGGTGTAGGAGGGATGCTGTGATGGACTCCAGGCTTGGGATCAGCCTGCAAGACGAGACACCTGCAGTCACGTGACTAGCAGGGATGATGTAATCCTGATGTAGAACTCAGGGGAGGGTTCTAATGAAAAAAACCCTTCTTGACGGTTGGATTTTGGCAGTTGAGACCGGCAGTTGGTATTTAGGCAGTTGATTCTGTCCCAAGAGGCTGAGAAATCTGGTTGAACATTGCTGAGTCCGAGGAGCAAATGAGCCTTCTCTACAGATCCCAATATTAGGGGAACCTGAGAAGAGCCAAACGTAATTATATACTACAGTGACAACTAAGGAGTCTTAAAAGAAAAATAAACTCCTTGTGGTGAAACAAATGATACACATTCATCTCACTAAGAGTTTATACCCTGCTCGAGAGGGAGTTCGGTTTAGTGGATTTTAGTGTGTGTCAGAAGTGTTTATTGGACTAGTGGCTGTCCAAAATCTGAAACAAGGCACAGCGGAGAGGTTTCTCTGTGAAGGGGGAGAATACCTGAGAGATCCACCCAAAAACTGGCAGTCTAAAACAGCACAGGGGTTGAGTTGAGAGTGAAAGTGTATTTTGTACTGTAACATCTGAACTGACTGTTTATAAAGGAATTAAATGAAAGCTGAAATATACCATCTGCAACTATGTATCCACAAACATCAAATTTTTCCTGTGTACATATTTTCCCTGACTGCCTGTCTTTGTAAATAAAATCTTCAGTTTTACTGTTCCAAATTACATGTGTCTGACAGGATCTAAGTTAAACATTAAGCTCTATCCTATAAAAAAGAGAGAGAAAAGCCCCAGAGACAATAAGTGACTTAGTCTGTGACAGAAGAGCAAACTGTGTGTATTCCTGGGAAACAGAGGCTGGCAGTCAGTGTCAGTGGAAAATAAGACTGCTCCAGCCTGTGAAAGGTTAAAGAAACCAAACCCCACATATTCAGGAATAAGGGACTTCCTCACAGAGGCCATGCTTGCAGACTTCAGACTGGTATAATGCCATAGACTCCACCCTCCAAACCAGCCATTTCCTCCACGAGAACTACCATTGCCAGCTTCCAGGTGAGGGCTGGAGATCACCCAGAATTACAACTGTTGTCCAGGTGACAGAGATTAGTTCCCCTGAATAAAATGGCTGCTTTTGAGGGTTGAGTCTATGGCATTATACCCTGTTGAGGCTGCTTCCCTCCCCAAGTCTCACTGTCCCAAGGCTCCACCCCAAGATCTCCAGGAATTTCCCAACCTGGAGCTGGCAGCCCTAAGGTGAATTGATCTCTGTAGCTGGGAGATCTGTTGTGATTCCTGTAGAGCTGCCACTGCTGCTATAGGGGGAGAGGAAGCAGGTGGGTGGCTGGGAGCACTGCCACCACCACTGCTGCTGCTGTGTGGGGTGGGGCAGAAAGCAGGCAGAAGGCTGGGAGAGTGATGGAGGCAGAAAGAGAGAGTGATGGGGTGGGGGGCAGAAAGAGAAAGAGTGAGGTGGGGAGGCAGAAAAACAAAGAATGATGAGGTGGCAGAGAGAGGCAGTAACATGCATGGCGGAGAGACAGAGTTAAGGAAAGGGGGGGCAGAAGGGGAAAAAAGTGTTAGAGTAGTAGGGGGTGAAGGGAGAAATGAAGGTGTGAGGAATGGGATAACCACTTGTAATAATTTACTTGGAATCCAGTCCCATTGATTTCAATCAAGTTCCCCCCCCCCAAGTTCTCTTAGATCATGACATAAAACACTACACTTTCTTCTTACCAGTAATATCCTTGCAATATTCTTCATAAGCTGGGAGTTTCGTTGCTGCTTCAACATGCAACTTTTAAAATTATTATAATAAAGGGAATTAGAAACTGGATTTCACCTGAGTTTTTGGTTTGTATTTATCCACCCATGGTTCAATTTCTTTGCAATTTTGTCTTGAAACGTGATCTCTCTCATCTCTAGAAGAAGGCTTCCCTTTTTTTCTCCCACTCTTGCCACTTTCTAGGAGAGAAAAATGCTCTTTTCTTTTCTGATGGTGATTCGTTTCTGTGGGCGTCTTCTTGTGAAGGATAATAGATGAGGAACTTTTATTCTTGCAGAAATCAGTAAAAGATGGCTCCACCCAGTCAATCCCCTGAAAATGCAAACATTATTTCACCATAGAAACTATATGTTAGTAACTTCAGCACTGCTCATCTTAGCTACAGGTCCTGATAATCCTCCACAACACCAATAAAAAGGTACCTTTCAGCATCTACATTTGTTTTGTCAAATAAAAATTTAGGCATTTCACATAAATACAAGAAAATGGGTTATCAACATAAAACTATTTTAAAAACCTTGTCATTTACATGGATGTGGGGTGTGGCTTGATTATCTCCAGTGTTTTATCACCTATCCCAAGCCCGCCAGCTGCCCCCATCTGTTCTGCTGACACTGTGATTCATCTGACAGTCACCTCCACATTAGACTACTGCAATGTGCTCTGCATAGTGCTACCTTCGGCAGCTTCAGGAGGTCCAAAATGAGACTGCCAGATTGCTGACTGCATCCCCCTGGTTTGCACATATAACATCAATACTTTGGCACCTGCACTGGCTTCCAGTCAGCAAATTCAATGTGCTGGTTTTGACCTAAAAGTCCTAAATCTTACCTGCAGCAGGACCACCTCCCCCAGTATGACCTCCCTCCCTTGCCTCCTTATCATCATTGCAAGGCCTTCTACAAGTGCCTGGCCCGCAAGTTGCCTACTTGTCAACCACCAGGGCAAGGGTATTATCAGTGGTTGCCCCTTCTCTCTGGAATCAGCTCCCTGGGGAAGTTCATGCTCTGTGAGATCTTCCAGTATTCCATAGGGCATGTAAGGCTGCTTCATTTTGTGTGGCCTTTGGTTAATGGTATGAACTGGATAGATGTTTTTGACTCCTCCAAGAAATATGTTGTTAAATTGATGTTTTAATTGTTATATTTATTGCATTTATATATATTTGTATTTATTGTACTTTATAATGTTGTCAACCACCCCAAGTCCCTTGTGGGAAAAGGATGTGGGGGTATAAATTAAATAAATATATAAATGCATGAAACCATTTATGAACATTTAGAATAAAAGCATTCTGCAATCCTTTGACAATTTAATGTCAATATATTCATTTAGCACGAATATATAATGTCAATATATTCATTTAGCACCAAACTTATTTACCATAAGTAAGCTCAGTATGCCACACTGTAGATCCCTAATTTCAACAGCCTCAAATCAGTTGAGCAAGACTGGCCATTTTATCCCACCTTTACAAAATGCAAGCTGAGTGATGTTCAGAAGTCACAGTTCAGCAGCCAGTGAAGTACTACCCATTCAGTCACACCAGGTCACAGTCTATATAAGCATAAAAGACACGAACCCTGTCCACTCATACATGTCTGTACGCAGAAGAGTCATGTCCAAAGACTTTTGTTAATATTTTAAAGTTATGATCACCCACTTTAGCTGAAGCGACCTTTCTTTTGGAAGTTTTCTTTGACATCATCAATCTTTGCCGTTTCCATCCGAAGCATATCACCATTGATCCTTTACAGAAAAAAGCAGAAAAATACTTTTGTAAATAAACTTGGCAGGATTAAAGTTTTAAACCATTTAGATCAACCTGAACAGATTTGCACACAATTACTGAAGAGCTAACTCCTGTTCTGTTTGCCTATACCACCTGTCCTCCTTCCCCCACAATGAAGCAAGTTTTATTTCCTTTTCTTCTAACCTTAAAAATGGTCCTGTATGTCGAGGAGAGAGACTGTTCCACCTGTGTAATAATAATAATAATAATCTGTTGCCAAGTCGCAACTGACTTACATTTACCCCTTCATGGAGTTTTCAAGACTAGAAACAAGCAGAGGTGGTTTGCTGTTGCCTTCCTCAGCATAGCAACCCTTGTCGTCCTTGGTGGTTCCCCCATACAAATACTAACCATGGACAGCACTCCTTAGCTTTCAAGTTCTGAAGAGCTCAAGGCTAGTCTGGGCTACTCAGGTTGCCACAATACTAACACAGAGGAGTCCTCTATTGGCTGCCTGCCCAGCTGTAATTTGTACTCTTCCAACAACAGCTATTTAAGACTATTTAGCTGCCACAGAGCTTTAATACAGTGCACCCAGATGGAGACACAGAGAGGCAAAAAAATAATAGCTGAGCTGTATTGCTCTGCTCATTTGGAGACAACTGCTACTTTCCCAAAACAAGAGGCATACTGTATGGCTGAATTAAGGATGAATTGTATGTACTTTCCTAAGTGAGGAGAAAACACATGAGCTAAAAGGGAAATTCTTTCATGAGTATTGTGTCAGGGTTTTAAAATTAATGTGACACATTTGCACGAACAGGTTTCTGGATCTATAGTCTGTGTACAAGTTGTACAGTACAACTTAAAAGAAAGCAATAATAATACATTAGTAGTTAACAGGGGTCATTTCGTAGAAAAAGAGCTAGGGGAACTCATTAGCATAACTCATTAGCATATGCCACACCCCCTGACACCACCGGAAGTGTGTCATAAGGCCACACATCCCGCCCCCAACGGTCCCGGCCGCCACTGCCGGCCTTGCAGCTCCACTGCCGAGCCCCATGAGGGGCCCGGCGGTGGACCTGCAAGGCCGGTGGGAGTGCAAGGAAGCCCTGCGAAGGCCCTCCCTGGCCCCAGGCAGGCAGGGGTGGGGAGAGGCAGGGAGGAAGCAACTTACCCTCCCTCTTCTCCTGCCTCCTCCTGGCTGAATGAGGGCCGGAAGCGGGGCGGCCGGAAGCAGGGGGCGGGGCTTCATCATGTGACCCGCCCCCCGTACCTCACCCGGGAGAACTGCGTTCCCCCGCGTTCCCCCCCAAAATGACCTCTGGTAGTTAAACATTCACAAGTTAGGAGTATGTTTCAGTTATTTTACTGCCAACAATCTCTCATATATTTATTTACAAATTTGTACCCCATCTTTCCTCCCTCACGAGAGCCACCAAGGTGGCAAACAGATTCAAAACATACATCATAAAAACATGTCTTAAAAACCATTAAAACCACACAAAAACACATAATTAAAATAAAAGCTAAGATATAAAAACAATTAAAACATAGGGCAGGAAGGAGGGATCACTGAGGGAATGCCAGATGAAACAAAAAGATCCGCTGGCAGAAGACAGCAGCAGAAGTTGACAGACTTGTCTCCCTGGATAACAAGTTCCACTCCAGTCAACATCTTGGCCGCAGCAGTCTGCACCAGGATGTTTTCAAGCACCTTTCAAGGCTAACCTCACATAGAGTACATTGCAGTAATATAATCTAGATGAAACCAGGTCATGCATCATTTAAACCAGGTCTTGTCTGCCCAGGAAATGCTGCAATCAGATAACCAATCAAAGCTGATAAAAGACACTCCTGGCCACAGCCATCACCTGTTTTTCCAGCAGTAGGCCTGGGTCTAAGAGCGCCCCAAAATTACAGGCCTATTCCTTCAAGGGGAGTGCAGTCTCCTTCAGAACAGGTGACACCTTTAATCCCAGCTCACACATTCTGTACACCAGTAGCATTTCTGTCTTGTTCAGTTTAAGCTTCAATTTATTAGCCTAAAGTAATTCCAAAACTGCCATGACTTCCCTCCAAATTAAGGTTGCTGTTAATACAAGCAGCTAAAGATTCCATCTAAACCCACTGTGAGAAGAAGTTTCCAAATTCATATCTAAGACATCGCACATAAGAACACAAGAAGAGTCCTGCTGGATCAGACCAATGGTCCATCTAGTCCAGCATCCTGTCTCACACAGTGGCCAATCAGTTCCTCTGGACTGCCAACAGGACATAGAGACTGAGGCCTTTCCCTGATGTTGCCTCCTGGCTCTGGGATTCAGAGTGCCTCTCTAAATGTGGAGGTTCCCCTCAGTCACCATGGCTAGTAGCCACTGATTGACTTATCCCCCATAAATCTATCTAATCCCCTTTCACAACTGTTTATTCCTGTGGCCATCACTTCTTTCTCTGGCAGCAAATTCCATATTTTAATCACTCTCTGTATAGAATTTCCTTTTGTCTGTCCTGAACCTACTGCCCATCAGCTTCATTGGATGCCCTCGAGTTCTAGTATTCTCTCCACCCCATGCATTATTATACATATAAAAGGCAAGCCGTGCTGGCAACGACTCACCTATTCTCCCACTGGCCACTGGGAAAGCTGCCTTGGTGTCTTATTGGCCTGTGCCGCCGTCTCCTCCATTCTTACATTCCCACTTTTGATACATTGCACCTTGGGAGTTGTAGTTCTCAGTTGGCCTTACTGCAACCATAACAAATGGAATTAGAACTACAACTCCAAAGCTGGGAGTCCCAAGAGGCTGTGGGGCATTAGTAGGGAGTCAGTTAAACTGTTAATCAGTTAAAGTGTTAAATGGGAAGCAGCTTTGGAATTGAAAGGGGTTGGGGGGAAAGGGAAGACATGGACAGCTCTCTGAATTACAATTAATCTCCAGACTACAGAGATCAATCCCCATGGAGAAATGGTTGATTTGGAGGATGAGCTCTATGGCATTATACCTCACTAAAGTCCTTCAACAAACCTGGCCCTCCTTTAACTGTTGCCAACCTCCGGGCGGCACCTGGAGATCTCCAAGATCACTTCTCCTGGAGAAAATGGCTGCTTTGGGCAGTGGACTCTATGGCATTTTACCCTGCTGAAGTCCCTCCCCACCCCAGGGTCTACCCTTCAAATCTACAGGTATTTTCCCAACCCAGAGTTGGCAACCCTGTAACTGACTACGGAACCACTTTCCAGACCTTTGAAATCCAGAAAACATAGCATAGAAGAACTGCCGGTTTGGTGTAGTGGTTAAGAGCGCAGACTCTAATCTGGGAGAACTAGGTTTGATTTCCCATTCCTCCACATGCAGCTGCTGGTGTGACCTTGTGTCAGTCATAAATTCTTTCAGAGCTGTTCTCTCAAGGACAATTCTTGAGAGAGCTCTCTCAGCCCCACCTACCTCACATGGTGTCTGTTGTGGGGAAGGGAATTCTAAGCTGCTCTGAGACTCCTTTGGGTAGTGAAGGGCGGGGTATAAATCCAATCTCTTCTTCTTCTTCTTTTCTACCTTAGCTGCCGCTGTATAGCCCCAAATCAAAATAAGTCGAGGTGGAAGGAACCATAGCCCCAAATCAACATAAGTCGGGGTGGAGGGAACCATACCTGTTACCATGCAGCTGTCCTCCCATACTGCCCACTTGGGCAGCAAAATGGCTTGAGACAGCCCTGCCTTATAGGTAAGCAGAAGGAAATAAACATGGCTTGCCTCCCTCTATTTTTCCCTTCCCTCTGCTGCACCACCAGCCACGGCCTGGACCCTCACCTGGAACCTCTTTCTAGAGCTTGTTGTATTTCTTCCCACAACAGGCCTTACTCCTAGTAATTTTATAAACCTCTATCATGTCCCCCCTTAGTCATCTCTTTTCTAAACTGAAAAGTCTCAGACTCTTCAGCCTTTCCTCATAGGGAAAGTGCTCCAACCCCCGTATCATCTTGGTTGCCCTCCTCTGCACTTTTCCCAGCTCTGCAATGTCCTTTTTAAGATATAGGGACCAGAACTGTACACAGTATTCCAAATGAGGCCGCACCATAGATCTTTTACAGTATCAGCCATTTTATTCCCAATTCCTCTCTTAATAATCCTTAACATAGAGTTTGCCCTTTTTACCACTGCAGCACACTGGGTTGACACTTTCATTGAGTTATCCACTAGGACCCCAGGTTTTTCCCCTCTGTCTCAGCAAGTTCAGACCCCATTACTTGAAGTTGGGTTTTTTTGTCGCATTGTGCATCACCTTACACTTACCAACATTGAACTTGAGTTGCCACACTGTCACCCACTCACCCAATTTGTGGAGGTCCTCTTGGAGCTTCTCATATAACCACAGAAACTTTTTTACCCACTAAATATTGCTAGCAAATATGACAATTTCTAAGAAACTGTAGAGATTCAAAATAAATGTGGGATAATTTGCACATTTTCCGACAGAAATGTAACAAGGTTAAAACAAAAGATTAAAGAATTACAACACCTTCACCACAGATTACACAAAATGTAAAAAGTGCACTCCCCCAAAATATGCTTAAAATAATGGAACACACAGAGTTTTCCAGAATTGTCTAGCCCGTCCAAACCGGGGTGGGGAATGAAGTAAGGAGAGACCTTACAGCACTGGGAGAACGTGATTGGTCGTCTTTCTAAGGTCTTTCTCTTTTATAAGCCGGGCTCAGCTACACGAGCAGGGAAAGCAACAAACACTTTGTAAAGAAATGACACTGAGGCTGCAATGTTAAGCAAGCCTACTAGGTGTGCATTAGAGCTCAGGGGGTAAATATACTTAGGATTGCACTGCACATAAATTAAGACCGACCAGGTATGTGAGAAACACTGTCAGCGACCAAAGCGGAGCGGCTCTATCTGTGTGAGGCTCCGACACCTTGCAAGCGCTGCTCCTTCGATGATACTCGCATTTTTCCTCTACGCGACAACTGTGGCCCAACCCATCTATTCTGTTAAATTATAATGGAAAATACCTTTTCTTCCCACTCCTTTTTTAGGGCACTTCTATCTCCAGGGAGGGGGGACCTCCTTCACAACTCGGCCCTTAGCGGTTCACGAGCCGCCCGCAATAATATCCACTGTTTCATTCAGGCCCCCGGACATCGCTCAAAGATGACCGAAAAACTTAGAAGAAAGGCCCTCCCCCAAACCTTATATGACTCTCAACCCACAGAGAGTGCCTACGCATCGAAGGGGGAAAGGAAGAGTAGAGACTGGTGACGTCTTTACTACGCGCCCGCTTCAGCAGGGATGGTGAAAGCCCTTTCAGAGAACTCGCACGTGTTTTCTCTGTGACAACTTTCTGGACCCAGGACCAGTCAGGGAAGTGACTATGAGGAGACCTAATATTTTGCTTAGTGGTAAGAAGAAGGGGGATATGTGTGTGTTTAAAATGCGCTGTACTTGAACTTAGGCACGAATCATCTTTAGGTGAGTTGCATGTTATTGCTATTAGTAACTGGTGTTTCTTTTTGTCGTGTTCTTTCTAGGTACCCCAGGTGTTGGGAAAACCACACTAGGTAAAGAGCTTGCTGCAAAAACAAATTTGGTTTACGTTAATGTTGGTGATTTGGCCAAAGAAGGTAGGTTTTCCGAAATGTAAGCTGAATTATATATGGGGAAGAATGTGCTGCGTTAGTCATGTTCCTTTAATAAAAACTGCCTTTTAATAACAGCTGTGTTAGAACTGGTTGTATTTGTATATAAATGATCTGGAATTGGGGATGAGTAGCATAGTGGTCAAGTTTGTGAATGATCCCAAGTTATTCAGGATGGTGAAAAGCAAGGCAAATTGTGAAGAGCTACAGGAGGATTTCTCTAAATGGGCAACAGCATGCTAAGTGTTGATAAGGTAATGCACACTGGAACAAAAAAACATTCCAACTTTAAATATATGTTGATGGATGCTGAACATGCTGAGTTTGACAAGGGAAGAGATCTTTTGGTTGTAGTGGATAGCGCAGTGAAAACGTTGATTCAGTATGTGGCAGCAGTGAAAAAGCCAAACTCCTTGCTGGGAATTACTAGAAAAGGGACTGAGAATAAAATGGCCAGTATTGTAATGCCCTTGTGTACAGCAATGATGCACCCATATTTGAAAAATTATCTATGTTTCTAGAAATCTTTACCAAGCTTGTTCTCTGTGGCAGCTTGCCGTGTCCCTAGTCCAATTTTTTCTGTAATACGAAAACAGTATATTGTGATGATAGACCAGTCATGTCAAAGAGTTTGCTACCAGTTTTTATCCTGTAACTTTGATATTACAGACCAGCTTCTCACAAATTTAATTGTTTTGACAGATTTGGATCTAATTTAGCTTACTTACTTGACTTGCATTTAAGAAGGAAAAGTAAGAGCATTGTGTCAACTTTATTGCTTTATCAATAGTTCAGTCTTTTGCTAATAAAGCGTTTGAAATGAAACTTGTAAATAAACTAAACTTCAATAAAGTACATGTAATATGGTTGTGGGGCTGCAGTGGCTCAGAGGTTAAGCTGCTGAACTGCAGACCAGAAGTCTGCAGTTCAGCAGTTCGAAACCCTAGTGCCACATGATGGAGTGAGCTCCTGTCTCTGGCCCCAGCTCCTGCCGACCTAGCAGTTCAAAAGCAAGAAATTGCAAGTAGATAAATAGGTACCTCTACTGCAGAATATACAGTAGAGGTGAAGAATAGATTCAAGGGTCTAGATTTGATAGATAGAGTGCCTGAAGAACTATGGACGGAGGTTCGTGACATTGTACAGGAGGCAGCAATCACCACCATCCCAAAGAAAAAGAAATGCAAGAAAGCAAAGTGGCTTTCTGATGAGGCTTTACAAATAGCAGAGGAAAGAAGGAAAGCAAAAGGCAAAGGCGAAAAGGAAAGATTTACCCAACTGAACGCAGATTTCCAGAGAACAGCAAGGAGAGATAAGGAGGCCTTCCTGAATGAACAATGCAAAGTAATAGAGGAAAACAATAACCTCAGATATGCAGACGATACCACTCTGATGGCAGAAAGTGAAGAGGACCTAAAGAGCCTC